GGGGTAATTATCCTACAGCTGCAGAATTAAAAGTGAAATTTCTATAAGTATTTATTGATTCAGGTTCATTTACATGTAATTCAGTGACGTTTGTCTCAGACTTAATCTTCCATTCATGACTTTGATAACATTCAAAACATCATCCAAAACCAATTCTGCTTGTTTAGGTCTGAAAATATTCATTCACTTTTAGGTGACATTTGAAGACCTTAAACAGTTCTGATTTGTCTTGCCTTCTGAATGTATACATATATTTGCCATTGGATGTTTGTAATGCACGAAAAATAGAAAATGAAAAAAAAAGACCAAATTTCCAATTGATGATTGTTTTTAAATGTTTTTGTCCGTGATTTTTGTATTTACTCACTAAAATTAAACCTTAATTACTCAGCTGAGGCCCAAAAAAGATTTATGACCTCAGCAACTTGAAATGGAAGCCAATATCTAATGAAATTCCTAAAAAAAGGTTTCCTGGAATCACAGCCAAAGGTTAAAAACAAACATCTGCGTCATCAAAACGGTAAGAGAAATCTGATATATGAATATAATAGACAGAAACTGATTGGTGACTCATTTCATTACATGAGATGTAAAAATATAAAGTAGAGCATTCTGAATATAGCAACTGCATTAAAATGTTTTTGGTTTGACAAGTGCAACAGTGACTGTCTCAACAGGTATACAGCAATGACTCAATCTTTTAAATGGGCAAAAATAACAAAGTTTCAGATTAATAATTTTATAATCACAAAAATGATATATCTATATGGCATCTATGGTGCTTTTAGTGCCTAAAATAGATCTATGGAGCAGCCTGCTTTCTGATTTTGTAACTAACATTCGAAAGGAATGTTCTGATTTTGTAACTAACAATCAATAGGAATGTTCTTATTTTAAGAAATTATGACTTAAAAATAAAAGTGCCTTTAATATTCACAATTTCCTCCAACTGAAAATACTGAGTAATTACCTTACTGAAAAAAAATCTCATTTCCCATTAGTTTCACCAAACAAGTATTGTGATCTTGCATTTTTTTTACATGTTTACGTAATTTAAAGCCATTCATATAAGAATTAATTATCCTTCTTTATTTGCCATTAATGTTTTTTTATAGCTCTTTTACCAGTGCCTATTTCTAAGGGGGTGAGGGGGACTGGCATTAAAAGAAGTTGAATGCATGATTCCTTTAATGCCAATTCGAATACTATAGGTCAGTTTTACAAAAATTTTCTAATTAAAAGATGGCATAAACTTTTGAACCCTACATCATAGTAGGTGTCTACTTATATGGAACATTGTGTCCATTTCATTTTAAAAAGAAAGAAATAGCTAATTTTTGACTTTATTTTAGTGAACTATTTGGATTCATCCTTTATTAAAGTAAACCAAAATTATTTTCTTTAAAAATGAAGATCAATTTTTTTGAATATTTTTTTATGTTTTTATGTTCTTTTGTAAAACTGCCCCAAAACCAATTTCACAAAAATGTCAAAAGTTTACTTTTTGGCTAAAATCTTGGGTTATAAAACCCCACTGGCTAAGTTGTTTTTCAGCACATAATCTAAAGGCTGTTTACCTTGATTCATTGGTCTGGAAATTTAAAGAATTTAGTACAGAAGCAAGTCTGAGCTGAGACTGTCACAGGGGCATTCATTGTGCACCCATATTTTTGTTAAACAGGAACCTGACCACCATTACATCCCATAATACTAACCTGTCTGACCACACAGTCCACATCACCATGCAAGGCCGTAACTGGACGTATGTTATTTCCAAGCTCCTCTGGACACAGGTCAACCTAAAACAGGGAACAGAAGTTTTAACTATGGGATATAACACATTTATGCCCTGAGTCGATGGTATTATAAATCTACATGTTTTTAAAATGCACTAAACCTGCAATTTGGAATGTTTAAATTATACTTTTTATGGTTAGTAACAAGATATTGGTTTGAAGAATAAAATTATTGGATTGAATTTAGTGATCGAGTAACATGCACCACTTTTACAGCACCAATGGTTTTCAACCCCACACTTATGAGCACATCTAATGTTTATATCCTATTTTTAAAAATTACTTACAAGATATTGTAAAGAAGAATCGAAAAAAGTGATTGAATGAAAAAACAGTAAAAATATTGGTCGTCCACCCTGCACAAACCTGAATGACTTTAACGTCTGGCCTGAATCTGGGAGGCTTTCCAAAATGAAGGATCCAGTTCAGTCTGGCACCCAACAACAATATAACGTCTGCTTGTAAGAGAGCCCTGAATTATACATATCAATTAAATTGTAAATGTCAAGCATACTAGTATCTTATGACACATATATGTTTAAATCTGACATTTTTCATGAAGAATAAAATCATCCTAAGCTTCTTATGTTTTGCGTGTGATCATGGAAGTTTATCTTCATATAATTCCCTGGTGTGATGAAGCAGTTTTTCAAAACACCTTTATTCATTTTACGTCAGTGTAACTTTCCATGAACATGCAACCACTGAAGTGCATGAATGTTGTTTGATATATATTTTTAGCCACCACATTTCTTTTTCTAAATTTCTCCAGGAGGAGTGTGACAAATTCAATATGTATGCATATACTGTCTAGTATGAATGTGACACAACCATCAAATGCTCTGATTTGACAGCTTTAGTGTGTTAGTTGTAACATATCTAGTGCAGCAAGGTGTTGGTATGGGCAAGTAGTGGAGAAGACAAAATACTGTATGAGGAGCAAGTTCATCACTTGGATTCAATCAGAAAAGTTTTGATATTTGAACTTCCATGCACATACCAAATCCATTTCAAAGAGTATCAATCTGAACCTAAATTATTTTTATTTTTTTCTGTACATCTGTCATCTGTATATCTGTCTAACAAAAGCTAGAGGGTGATGAATCCGACCATGTATTACTGTGGGTTTACTGACCTTGACCTTGCAGCGCTGACACAAAGTTCATGTTCGTCTGCTACCACACCTTTTCCCATGGGTGTCGGTAAAAATGGCAGCCCACATGTCTCCAAGAACATACGAATAGAGCCCTCTGCTCCACTGTATCCTGCACCTAAAATAAATCAAATAACATGTTTCAGGTATTTTTTCCTATCTATTTATAAACTTATGCCCATATTTATACATGCAAAATACATGTACTAGTTCACATCCCAAATGCAAAAAAATCTATAAGAAAAATGCACTTGAACAGATATCAACATACCAGTAAAAGGCAGTATGGTAAAACACTGCAGACAAGCTTAGTGCTACAAGTGCAAAAAAAATATAAAATGTATTTTTGCAGTGTATCAATTAATACAGTTAACATATTTGCATATTAGATACTTATGACAAAGGCAGACAGCAGAAAATTTAGGTTTATAGGTTTATAAACACTAATGCAATGTGTCATGCTCCATCAAGCAGTGATGAACACTCTAAGGGTCCGTTCCCAATGAAAGTATCCCCCCTGGCATTGAGTAGAATACAGAAAAACTGGTGATTTAGATTATACAAGTAAGCTGTAAACAAGAGGAGGCATGTTAATCTGTAAATCTGATAACATTCAGCGAGAGTCCCTGCAGAGCTGGATTTATCTACGTAGAATAATAATTTCATTGGGAATAGACCCTAAAACTGTGGTCACCTTTTCCTACAATGACCAGTGGTCTCTTAGCTCTCATCAGCTCCTGTATGGCCGTCTTCACACTGCTGGGGTCAGCCAGGGTTTTAGGTGGTGGTGGGCAGGGAGTCAACTGCCTGAAATGTCCAATATAACGTCTTTAACTGCTGAAGTGATGGAGGTTATAAACCAAGGGATGGGGTGTTTTAACTATGACATTAATCTAGGTATTTGCAATGCATTTTAGCTTTTTTGGGTATTACAACTACTTGTATGGTCATCTTAGTACTGATTAGGTCAGTTAGGGACTACCAGGGAAATAAGGTCTATACAGGTGATTTGCCTAAGATAAAAGGTCCCCTTTATGCTCTTATAGTGCAAGATTTCATTCTTGTTTTAATTTGGTAAATCTACACTTTTGGCAGCAAACATGCATGTGCCAACATACACACACACACACACACACACACACACACACACACACACTTACCACACTGCGCTCTCTGCCACAGTTCCTCTGATCTGATTCCCAGCTAAGTCAATGTAGCAAGCACCTGGTCTGCCATAGGTACTGTACCGTACTGCCTTGAAAATGTGAAAAAAAAGGAGGTTAATAATAATAGTATTACAACTCTAAGGCACTGGTATACATTTTTACAGGAACATTTTTTTATCAAAGCTCACTTTTACTTGCAGTCCGGGTTTCAGGGTACTGAAGAATCACAACCTGAGTGTCAGGGTACTAAAAAACCACAGCCTGAGTTTCAGGGTATTAAAAAATCACAGCCTGAGTGTAAGGGTACTAAAAAATTGTAGGCTGAGTGTCAGGGTACTAAAAACTTGTAGGCTGAGTTTCAAGGTACTTACCCCAACAACATACATATTCCATCAGTTCTTCAATGTGTGTATACAGCATATGTTGGTTGAAAGGTGGGTACATGCATCTGGCATTCTTTGAATCTCATGATGGTTGACTTTAATGTGTACTTAAACTTACCTTTTCAATATAGAAAGGGATTCTCTCAATGCTGCTTGGTCGAGCAGAGAACTTGCTGAAGATACGTGTGCTTTCCACCTGTGAAATAGATCACAGAAAATTGTGTAACATGTGTGTATGTGTGAGGTGTGATTGTGCTAGTGTAGTGTGTTCATGTCTTTTTGTTAGTGTTCCTGTATGTTCATTTAGGTATAAAACATGCCCTGTCTCATTTTGAGGCACATTTGCCTATTCACATGTGTCGCATACGTCCAGGACTGGCAAATAAACAATATGTTTCTTACAAACTCATGGTTTTGAGTCGTTCTTGAATATAATCACTAAAACAATAACTTCTAAACTGAACCCAGACAAAGAAAGAAATAAAGTTACAGATACAGAATGTATACAAACATGTATGCCTTTACCTGAGGAAATTCCTGAAATCCACCCTGACCCTCCTGGTCAGCATCAGTAGACCCACCTATTACTATCAGTGGCCTGTAAAACACATGTTATAAATATAATTATATAATATACATGTATACTATATATAATATATGCTATATATATATATATATATATATATATATATATATATATATATATATATATATATATATATATATATCTCATTGATTGGTTGATTATTAATAAACACCAGCAATAAAGTTGGTGAAAACGGTGAAATATTGAACATTTATTACAAAATCATCCTTTATCAAGCCAGCTATGACATCATCATTACCAGATCCTCAGTCAGAATAATCAATTAGGATTACACTTATAGTAGACTAAGTGAAGCACTTATTTCCTAAACCTTATCAGTTAGCAAACTAATCAGTTTGCAAGCAACTGTTTGCACATTGTTGCAAGCAACATTGCTGTTGCTGCATATCTGCTGCAAGTTTTAAGACTAATATTTTTGGGAAGTTTGCAAAAAAGTCTTTAGACCTCATCTGCATGGCAAAAGTTCTTGAAAACTTGCAGCAAGTTTATTGCAAATGGACGTAGTACATTTGCTGCAGTGAACGGAACTATGAAGTAGTCTGCTTTTCAGTTTTGTTACTTCCACTCATTAGGAATGTTATGAGTTTAATAAATTAATGACTTTTCAAGCTATATCTGAAATATTCACAATTTTCCCCATTAAAAAGATTGAGTCATTACTCAGGCCCGTAGCCAGGGGGGGGGTTCGGGGGGTTCAAAAGAACCCCCCTTTTGCTGGAAAAAAGGTCCCTTCTGGGTAAAATTTTATATAGGTACATGACGGTTTCATGGTAAAAGGTCCACTTTTTCAGAAAAAGAACCCCCCTTTTGAAATAGCTGGCTACGGGCCTGTTACTAGTACTGTATTGATAACTCACCAGCCATTTTCATTGGCATTGGACATCCCTGCCAGAGCATGTACCAGTCCTGGCCCTGAGACAACAAGGCACACAGCAGGCCTAGAAAAAACAAAATGCTGTTATTTACTTAAATTTTAGTCACAGACCCCATTCCCAGACCTAGATCGATCTAGCAAGATCGTCCCATCTCCCAGGGGATTCTTGCTGAATTACATTTAGCTTAAGCGGCTTAGATGTCTGGCATGCATAGTAAAGCTGCTAAAGGATAGTTAATTACCCGCTAACAGATTCAGTAGGCATGCCAGACATTAGATCCACTTAAGCTGAGTGCAATTTAGCAAGTAACCCCTATTAAAGTGGAGGCTGGTTGTCCAAATAGTGTTAGTAAGTAAAAATCCTCGGAATCATGAACAATCTTTTTGATTGAGTTTTATAAAAAAAAAAAGACATGATGAAATACCATATCTAAGCCATTCTCTCCTATCTTTATATCCCACTAGACTGATATTCAGAGTTGCTTGTAGTAAATGTACAATATAAAATGAATGATGCTCCAAATGACTTAAATACTCACTTTCCTGTTAAATACCCTATGCAACCAGCAGCGTAAGATGCCTGAAAAATGATGCATTGACCATGGATATAAAATGAAAGTTTTGCCATTCAATAACTGAATGCGTTTACAAATATCAATATTTCACATACACACACAGACACACACAGAAGAAAAAAAAAAAACAACAACAACAACAGTTACTGCTCAAGACTTATGCACTAAATAAAATATCTTATTTTAAAGTCAAGAGCCAGGAACAAGCCAAACACACTATTCTTGGCATCTTTTTAACCATCAAAAGAATACTCACAGTAACTTTAATGATCATTAATGACATTTGAAAACACTTTCCCTCACACCCTCACATGTTAAACAATATATTTCACTGAGAGAATACCTACAGCCTGCTCATTCCTCATCCCTACAAACTTGATTCCTTCTGCCTGGCATGCTATAGCCACCTCTGTTACTGGTATGCCCACAATACCAAATATGTACTCCACTCCCTAGAAGAGATAAACCAGAGTTGAATAAATAAATAAATAAATAAATAAATAAATAAATAAATAAATAAATAAATAAATAACAATACTGTGTTATAGTTAGCAATAGGTTATATGCAAGCTCAATATAAGTATTTCACACTCTATCAATGCAAGGTATATCAAAATAATGAAGTAGTTAAAAAGATCTATAAAAATAACCAATGTCAGTTTTAATTTGCATTCAAAATACATGTACCAGTACATGATACAGTGTACCAGTGTAAATAAAAGTCCTGATGTTTTTTAGTTTTTTCTTTTTTCAGTTTTTATTTTCATAAAACCTATAGACTACATAAGGACAAACATGTTATTGCAGTGAAAACCTGAAAAACGGATGTTAAATTTGGAAGTCGAAAAAATTCACTGTTATCCAATGCGTTTGTGACAGGTCAGTAACTAGGTACAAACTAAAAGCAAACTCTTGTGAGCTCGAATATAATTCATTAATTGCAATTTATATATAGCGCTCAGTTGCGTTAAATAACCAACTCAAATTCAATATAAGATATGGACCTTAGCTCAACATTGAAATCAAATGCTCCCCTTTACTTTTAAATGAGGTTAACTAACCTGAGCCTTCAACGATTGAGCTACGATGCTTGCCCCGTCTACCATCGCTTCGTCCGCCATTTTGTCTGGTCACATGATCAGGCAGTCTCCTCTCCCTGGAGGTCTGATCCTGCTTCGTTGTGTAAACATTAGTTGCATTTCGCGCGATTTTATATATTTTTCTAAAAGCTTCATTAACGGCCTTTCTGCTCGCAATATAGACTTTATTTTATATAAGTTATGTCGTCCCTTTGTGAGTGAATTTTAGCAGATTATTAAATTTCTTAATTGCTATAAATGAAAGTGGATGCAAATATAATTAAAAAATATATATCTGTCTGGCCAGATGTTTTGCACTAATTTGTTTGTCTGATGAGTAATTAGGTAAAGAATATGCATGAGCTTTGAAGTGATCAAATTTGTGACGGTAATTATTCATTAAAGCTGTGTATTGAAAGTCCGAAGGTTCATTGGTCCGAATATTCACTATAGAACCTTCGGACAAATGAACCCTTGATTAAAAAATTGATGAAAGTGTTACCACTTTTCGGACCAATGAGCCTTCGGACTATCGAGACGCCCCCTATTGATAAATGCACAGATCACAGGTAAGTCATGAGATTGAGATGATAAGTGATATGTTTGCATATATCAGAGTTAAGTACCTGTAGGTATAAATATCATGGTAGTAAAAAAGCCATTTAAATTATTTGCTCTTGAGGGTGTAGTTGAAAAGGTGTGTGGAGACAATATATCAGTTAAGGTTCTCAGGCAGAAGAATTAAGGTATGTTTTAAATAATTTTGTAATATGTAGGCAATTGTGTAGAAAGCTAAGATGACGGAGTAATGTTTGAGGTGTAATAGGGTGAATCACCGTGCAACTGATTTCTACATGTATTATGGAAACATGTTTCATTTGAGTGTTTGGCATGGTTGCTTTTCAGTGATATTCTGACATCAAAACCTTTGGTCTGTGACAGTATTTTAATGCAAGTTTAATTTGTTGTATGTAATGAAGAAATATAAAGGAGGATATATTTTGTGTGATTTGTGAATGATGAAATTAAGTTTACTTAATTTTAAAATGGTTATTTTAAAGGTATGGAAAGCCAAAACATGTATGAGATCTTGTTGGATGAAGGAAATGATTGGGTGGAGACCCCACACAAAACTTAATCATGAAGAGTCAGTCAAAATGTTGGAATTCAAGGGCACTAAACCTGCTGATTCATTTATTTTGAAATATTTATCTCAGATATGGAAAGAGGAGAGACTATCAGAATTTGCTAGAGAGGTAACGATTGGTTGTTAGAAGAAAGTAAGGTTGACGTAAAATTTAAATATAACAATTAAAGAAAGTGTGAAGTTCACATTTGGCGAGAAAATGTTTTGCTGTTATCGCACAAAAGAAATACCTCTGTGGCAGTATTTTTTTGATATTTGCGGATGTGACGTTTTTTATTCAAAATCAAGAGAAATGTTAATTGAAAACTTAGAGAAAATAGAAAATTGTATAAACAGAAAACAATGTCTAAATTTACTATACAGTATTTTATGAGAAACAAGTACTATTTACAGTGAATTTTTTTATCACAGAAAGTTATTTTCTTAAACTGTTTATAATAATAATAATAATCTTTATTGAGCACTAAAATGCATACATATTACATTTTACTGGCTCTCTACACTAGTCATAACAACTTAGCAATAATTTTACAAATCTATACAAATACTTATTGAATGATTACTGGGAAGCAGCACAGAATAAAACGACTATTAATTTGCTATTGGTGGGTGTGTCGTTTTTTCAAACTTTCAGTTATATGTAGATATATTGTTCTCAAACACGATTCACTTTTTGGACTGAGCAGCCACTGAATTTTTTCATGATCTGTTTTCTGCTCAGGAGGTATCATTTATGTAAATTTCTTGTATTATTTAGGGAATAGGAATAGTATTCAGTTATGGCATAGCTCTTTAATGGTCAATTTTTGGTGTAATTTTTTTGTTAAATGTTCATTTTAGTTGGAAGGGTAGGAGTTGTATTAGTTCAAATGATGGTTTTTTGTTTGCGAGTGAAGTCTCTTCATAGTTATGTGTGGAGGTTAAAACCCATGGTTTGGGGTGGAGGAGACAAAGGAGAGGAGGCTATATTTGAAAGGTGAGTTAATATATATTTTGAGTTTTCAGAGTGAAGGGAAATAAGAGCATTGAGTGGAATGGTTTGTATTTTGGCTGTAATAAATATAAATAGTAATGAAGATTTATATGATAGTTTAATTTTGTGAAGGTACTGTTTTTATTATTATCAATCAATCAATTAATCAATCAATGATGTAACAATCTGTATTAAAAGTTAATGAAAAGTAAGTGGAAAATTGTCTGATGTTTGGGGTTTATAGAGGTTCATAAAATGTATATTTGAAATGATTTATGTAATGATAGAAGTGGGAGGAATGTATTGTAAAAGAAATTAATGAGCATGTTTGGCAATGCTAGAATATTGTTTTTATTACTTCTGTCAGGGAGGTTATTTTTATACATATCTTTGTTTGTGTTTTTCTCTGTTATGAAGATAAATAGAAAAAAATGTGGATTGTTTTTGATAAAATTTTCTGAAACTGTAAGAAGTGGGCTAAGGAACAGAGGATTAGTTTTTGGTGGGGTTCTGGATCAATAATCATGTAATTATTAATAATAAAAAATTGTTGTCTTGGCTGAGGTCTGCGCTCTTAGAGTACTTTTGTAGTCTTATTGTTGTTTTGATATTTTTTGCAGTGATGGCAGGTAGATTTATATGATGTAGGAAATAATATGGAATTAGTAATGGGAGCAGGGTCAGTATAGTGATTATTTAATCACATGGTATTATTTTTCAGAGTTAACAAATGGTGATTTTTAATAGGGAAAATTTACATACACATTTTTTTTAGTATGGGAAATGTGCTTTTGGTTGTTGATAGAGTAATGGAGTGGCATTTAGTGTAATTTATGTAAAGTTAATTGAATAATTTATTGGATTTTTGATTATGAATAAATATTATTTTTGTAGTAGAAATAGAAGTAAATTTGAACTGACAGAGTATTTTTGTTATAATTATAACATTTATTTGTGCAGATGAGTGTTTGGTATATAGACATGTTGTTTGTAATTTTTTTTATTTATATATTTTTGTTTATTTTCTGGTTTCTTAGGAATGATTATCATTGCATGTAGAGGAAAAAGGATTGGTTAAATTACAAATTTGTTTAATTATTTGGTGAGTATTTTTCTGTAGTGGAAATGTAGGAATTTTTCATAATGGCAGATTAAGATGCATAGATAATATTTATTTGTATAGTGTATATTTTGTGGTATATGTATATGCTTATGTAATATTTTCTTAGTTAATGGATTTTTGGTACAGATGTGATTTTATGTTTAAGTAAGTATAAATGTATTTATAATTTTATTGTATGTTTACAGGCACCTTTGGGAAATTCAAAAGGTTATAAGTTTCAAGGAAATGGGAGAAGATAGACCTATGACTTTTTGCATTATAATAATTTTTTTTGTGAGGTAAGAGATATTTTGTTGGTTTCATTAATTACATTATATTTGAAGACAAATGTTCATATTTATTATATGGATTGTCAATGAGTGGAATAAATATGTAGTATATTGCTTTTATAATCTAATTGTGAACACTTATGTTATAAATGATGTTATGTTTTGATCTCTTTATATTAATACTATCAGTGGGCGATGTCGATGAGCCAGAAACAACAGAAATACCGTCCAGTTCCAAAATCAGAATAGTTGCTTTATTGAATTTCACTTAGATTTTTATTACAGATTACTAGTCAAAATAACATTGTTTCATGTTTATTTCTTTGACTTTCCACTGAGAAACTCTGGAAGATAACTTTCACACACACCTAATGCATGCCAGCACATCTTCAATTTTTGACTTCATTCAAGTATGTGTGAATAGAATACCTCCACAGTCCCTCAGCTTTACACCTAAATAACCTTATCATAATACTTATATTTTTGTTTTAGGCAATTGTGACAAAAGGAATTTGGAAGATTGGATATAAAAACTTTTTCTGTGTCAAGATGGATATAATATTTTTTTATGTTGTCAACTTGAATATTATGTTCTAAAGTATGAAAAAGGTATTTTAATGAAACTTTTAAAGCTAATTTTTTGTGAACTTCTTTAAATGCGTTGCGTTATTTGATGATGATGATGATTTTGTTATAAATAATTTTGGTAAGATGTGAGTAAAATGTAATGTTGTATATAATGTTTAGAGTATAATATAAAATTAGTTTGTTAAGTAGTTTGTATTATTGAATCTATATTAGGGGCCTAATTGCTCTTAGGATTAGAAAAATATGAAAATTGGAAATATATTTTGATTATGTACTTTTAATGAAGTGGGTATTTGTGCAATCATAAATGATAGTTTACATCATAGAGAACATTGTTCAAGCATTGTTTTGGAAAGTGAATAGTTGTTTGCAAAGAAAATTGATGTTAAAAATTTTGAACTACAAGATGACAAGTTGATATGATTATATTAAAAGTAAGCCGATTTATAAAATGATTACTAGGTGTTGTTTATCTTTTGTTATGGGTTATGTTTCATTTGTATTAAGCAGAAGAAAGAAGTTATATGTATTTTAAAATATTTTCTTTGTAATATGAAATTTGTTTTGTGATGTATTGAAATTTTGACAATGAAATTATTTAAAAATTTGAATTATAGTGTATTTTAAAGAGAAAGTCTGGAGAAATAGTTACATCGAGTTACATAATTATTTCACAATGGCATATTTTTATGTTGAATACATTTTATATATGTTTAATTAAATACAAGGTTGCAATACAATTGTTAGAACAAGATTATTTATTGAACTGAAATTATAATAAATATTTTACTTTGAAATTGCATACATTTGGCTTGTTATTTTAATGTTTATAGTAACATTCAGTGTATCATTGCTGACTCATACCCAGCATTTAAAGTTTCACCTCAAGTACGTTCTTATAATTTACGGTATATTTCGTCAAAAAATAATATTAATAATATGATATATCGAGTTTAGAATATTTTAGATTTTTTTCAAAAGTAGCATTATACATTTTTTATTTGATGCTACTGTAATAATAGGTTGCAAAAAGCAGAAAGTTATTGAAAACATTTTAATTTTGACAAAAAACTATACAATTCTGAGCAAAGATAATCAAAACGCTCACATAATTACATGGCTTTAAATCAGTATTATTCTGTGTGATTTCGCACGGCCACTGTTGTGAAAAAGCAGGTTAATTTTTGTAAAAATTGCCCCGATCATGCTGCTTTACAAAATTGACCTACGTATTATGAATATTTACCAGTTCTGTAATTTTCAAGCCGGTCACAGTAAGATTGCCAGTATATGACTTCCTGACTATTGACTTATCTCTGCCAGTTTTGGAGATATAAGGGACTAAATGTTACAATTTTGGAGTTACAATAATGTGCCATAAATTTCCTAAAAAAAATTAATTGAAATAAAGAGTAGGACATTTTGGTTGAAATTCTTGAAATGAGAGGTGCTTAGAAGTTCAGATGTTCAAATTTCATGTAATAATGTCACTTTTGACCAGCCCCGCCAAGCCTTATGTTTTATTTTCCAGAGGTTCAAAATTTATTATCCATTACCGTAAAAAAAACCTGGAGGTTCTAGTTGAGGTTATATGTGACCTAAATCCAAGAGATGGGGACAGGGGTCCTTGCGGTCTAGGAGGAGAAGCGGTAACGGTGACTTGTATCCAGCGCCAGTACGCGGAGCCGGTGGAGCCAACGGAGCTGGACGAGACGGGTCGGGACTAAAACCACGAGAACCGCCAGCGTACACGCTGGTGGTACTAATAAAGCAAAAGTTAAATGTCATAGATCAACATGGGGGTTTGGGAAATATCATTAGAAAAATATTCATTTTTATTAATATCCACATAAATCGAGACTTTCATCTCTGACCATTCATAGAGAAGTGAACAATAAGCATTAAATGTGACCATAAGCTAAATAAAACTCATATATGCAATAACAAAAATTTATTTGCTTGTTACCAACATTGTCAAGTTCAAAATGGGCTAGACTGTTGGCTAGACAGTTTTTGTGCACACAGGAAAAAAATCAACAAAAACCACACTTGACATAACTATTAAAGAAGAAAGAAAAAAAGTTACCAGTAAGCTTAAATTTAAAAGATAAATAAAAGACAAAAAAATCCAATAATAAATAAACAGGTGACAGCTATATGTTCAGGGCTACCATCTATGCATCAAAAAACTCTTAACTTTTGAAAAAACTTTAATAATTAGGCAACAATATAATTATCACTTAGCACAAATATAGAGATCCACATCAAAATAATTTTACCCCTTTTCCAAAGGCAAGTTTTATCCACTTGAAGAGCAGTTATATTATCATCTCAAATACCTTGTTAATGTAAATTATGACTGAAATATGTATTTACAACAACCTCTGTTTTACAGATATAAATGCGCATATCACTTTGCTTGGCATTATACAAAAACAATTTTTATGTATAAACAGATTATTTTACAGTAAATACATCACTGAAGAGTTGTCTGAAAATGGTTCGTAGTAAGATAAAGCAATGCAGTTGTGGCTTCATTGGAAGGAATAAAAGTATTTTGTTCATAACCTTCCAAAGTCACTTCCACTGGCGTTCCGTTGGAAACAGATACAGGCACCGCGGTGTTAGTTCCTTCATGAGTAATATGAACAATTGTCTGTCCGTCTGCTGTCTGATGAAAGTCCTCCGGCTTGATAAGGATCTGAGTAGACTGGACTGTAGGGGGCAGTTGTGTCGCTTGGCTATGTATCACTTGCTGGACCTGCTGAGTAACCTCCTGTGTCTGATTATTTAAGGCGTCGTGTGTCCTCTGGTGTCTCAGCAAGGCGTACTTCGTGTTGAAGCGTTTTGGGCACTGACCGCATTCGAAGGCTCGCGGGTTTTTGTGTATGGTCTCCACGTGTTTTCGTTGGACTGATTTAGTCTTGAAGGAAGCTCCACATATCTCACAGAGAAATGAACGTATACTAGTGTGCATTGCCATGTGTTCTGCTAAGTGCGCCTGAGAAGAAAAAACAATAAAATTTTAATTTCATCAAGGAATTCAAGGTCTACTAAAACTCAATATTGTACATTGACCACTCATACAGTCACAGTCACCAATGAGCAAATTTGTAGATTTTGACTCATCAGACTGAAAGAGACATCTCAATAGGACAACTGACCCTTTAAAGTGCCAAAAAGATGGTCAATAAGAATACAAGCAATATGGCAGTTTTCAGCAATTTTACAAGTTTTTATGTTATCTTGGAGAGCAATATTGTGTTGATTTTAGATTGAAATGTTAATATGGTCTCTTGTCAATGGTTATTATAAACCTACCCTTGAACGGAATGGTTTGTCACAGGTGGAGCATTTAAACCTGAAGATGCGAGATTTCTTTTCCATGTGGATGACTCGGTGTTGGCGCAGGGCATCCGCTCGCTTGAAAGAAGTCCCACACAAATCGCACAAAAATGGCCTTTGATTGGTATGGACGTCTTTAATATGTCGCAAATAGTGTTCCTTTTTCTTAGTACTGTAAGCACATTTCTCGCACTGGTACCTCATTATTATTTTGTCCGTGCCGTTTATGATATCCGCGTGACAGGACAGATGGCGCTTAAACTGCATAATACTATGGGACGAGTACCCACAATCCTCTGTTGGACACAGAAATCTGTTGACCTTCTTCTTTCCCTCGTCATGCTCTTTATGCTTGTACTTGATATGGCGTTCTAATAATACAGGGTTGTCTGTCCTATACTTGCATTTAGCATTAGGGCAGCTTTTGCATTCTTTGCTGTGGGTGTTTATCTCGTGCTTTTTGAGGACACTGAGGCGTATTGTTTTGAAAGTACATTTTGTGCATGCATACAGCTTCTTGTAGACTTTATGGCAAGTCATGTGCTTGTCGAATTGAGCTTTCCTTTTAGTTTTAAATGAACACATTTTACACCAAAATTTGAAGGGTAAAGTATCCTCATACTCTTTGTTTTTTTCACCTGAAAAAATGTATTGGAAAAGTAATATGCACAAATGTTTATTAAATCAGGTTACTTTTGTAAATACTGAATAAATAATAGTTCAGACAACATACTTAAAATTTAATAACCAAAGGAAAACAAAACTTAAGCATCTGCCTCATTTTTGACGTTTAAAATAAAACTTAAATTTTTCAATATTAAAATAAAGTCCAAAATCCAATATAAAATCTTTAAAATTAAAAATATTTACATTTTGCTGCATCTCTCTTTGACCGCCTGCGTTGTGTGGTGCCCTCCTCTGCATCACTGAGACAGGAGTCATCCGGGTCTTTGTTCTCCGTGTTATCATTGCTGAAATCTGGCTCTTCTTCTTCTCCTTCTTCATCATCATCATCATTGGAACTGTCTTCTGGATTCACATCTCCTTCTTGATTGATATCCTCATCCTGTATATCAGAATTTGAAACAATAACTTTTGTTTCGTCAATGGTTCCATCGCCTTCCCACATG